TAAATTGCCGTTAATCGACCTCTCTCTGTTTTTGTTTTGTTTTTTTTTTTTTTCCTCAGTTTTTTGGAGGGGAAAAAACTTTCCAAAATCATGTCTTCCATTTATTTAAAACAAAAGCTCATCAATTTTTATGTCTTCAAAACCCAAAAACATGTACAAATAGAATTGCTCTAAACAACGTACCAAAAATCTGGACGTTTTGGGGGAATCTGCCGGTCGGCAAGAATCGGTTAACAGATTTGTCCAGCAAATTCGGCGGTTTTGTAAAGCTTTCACTTTGTTACGGGCCTTTGGGCCATATCAAAGTCCAAGCCCGGGACAATGAGGCCTACTATAAGCCCCAATACAATTATTACTACAATCCGCTTGGGCCCCTTTGATTAATCATTATTGTGTGGACCATGGTCCATACAAGTTGTGTGGACCATATTTTGTATATTATAAAATAATGTACATTCAGTACAAAAATAATGTACATTCAGCACAAAAATAATGTACATTGTATTCAGGGGATGTACATTATTTTTGTACTGAGTGTACATTATTTTGTATAATGTACACTCAATACAAAAATAATGTACATTTAATATATTAAAAATGTACTTTTTATTATGGTCCACATAACATTGTGTGGACCATGGTCCACAGAATAATTTGCCCCCTTTGATACCTTTCGGGTTTGTTCAGAATTGTGATTTACGGATTTATTAGTAACAAATTATTAGAACTTCTTTAAAAAAAAAAAAAAAAAAAAACTTTTTCGTACTACATTGATATTTAATTATTTATCACACAAATACGACTAATCTATCTATTCAAATCTGCATTAAACCATATTCAAGGACAACTCTTCCAACATATGTAAATTATTCTGTAGAAAACCATCCAAAACGATGTCATTTTGATGTTAAAAAAGTTATTATTTCGCGCGTGTTAGAATAATGAATATTTTGGGGACTGGGGGTAAGATAATGTATTTTATAGATTAGAATAATGTGCTTTATGTGTTAGAATAATGAAATTTATTAGGTAAGATAATGTATTTTATGTTTAGAATAATATATTTTATGAGTTAAAATTATGTATAATATACTTTGTGTTAGAATATTGAAATTTATAGGGTAAGATAATGTATTTTATGAGTTAAAATAATATACTTTATGTGTTAAAATAATGTATTTTATAAGTTAAAATAATATACTTTATGTGGTTTTAAATCGCACACATGGATTTGAAATCTTTAATAACTATTCAAACTTTGATCTTTCCAAATTCCATTATAGTAAATTTTAATACATAAATTTTTTAACATTTCATTTTTAGTCTTAAATATTTAAAATGCTATTACATGTATTAAAGTTCAATGAAATTTTGACATAGCAAAAACATTTCGAACTAAAATTATATCATTTTTTTAAGTCAATAACTAAAAGTGGAAAAATTTTAAATCCACCTCTATAAATAAAACTGTCATCATAATTAACAAATCAAAACTGTTATGAAACTGGATGTATCATCGCATGAACTATTGTATATATCATCAGAATTGTATGAAGGTAATAGGAATATAATAAAGTAAAGAGAATATCAGATACACAAAAAATCATCAGTATTTTATTAATCATTTTTCTGTATAATATATACAAAATATATCAGAGTTCTAGTATAACTACAATCATACAAAGGATAAAAAGGTATTATCACAATATAATATCTTTAGTAATGTCCACGTATATTTATTCACAACAAAAACAATATTTGTTATACAATGCACCAATTTATCAAGAATAGAATTGGATATATATATATATATATATATATATATATATATATATATATATATATAAAGTATTGAATACTTTGAAATTGGACTAATAATTACTATTTCAAATCATATATATAAGAAAATATTAAAGTATCGATTGACACTAATACTTCTTACACCAAGTACAACTCAAAAGTGAATGTAAAAAATTTTAAAAAGTTTACCCCAAAAGTACTTAGTATAAAGATTTAATTTTCAAATAGAATGTCCCAGAATAGGTTCCTATTAAGCCTTGAATAATAATATAATATTTTCAAAAAAAAAAACAAAAATCAAGATTTTTAAGTATCATAAGAAAGAGATGCATGGACCTTGGATGGCGAATGAAAATTTTGGTATCATTAACTTGAGAAAGCAAAAGAGGGGGTACCATAAATACAGCCTTGTGGCTTGGTTACAAGATTTGAAAGTGATTGGTGGTATCTTATAAATTTAAAAGTTATAATTGAAGTACCTTCCACTCATTCATTCCCTAACTACACCTCTAATCAACTACTTAAAATTGCCTTTACATTATATTCTCCAACTACTATTACTTATTATAGTAATAATTCTTTATATATATATATATATATATATATATATATATATATATATATATATATATATATATATATATATATATATATATATATATATATATACACACACACACAACTTTGTAATATTTATGATAATGACCCGCTTGGACGAATGATGCAGATTAGCTGGTTGCCTCCCCAAACGCGATCAGCAACCGTCCTGTCGCTGGTCACCGATCGCCGGAATCCTTACCAATCAGTTTTTGGATTTTAATGCTTCCAAATAATATGTTTATGAGTTTAATTATAATTTTTTAAAAATTTAAAGACTTAATCAGTTTTTTGAGTAAAGTTCAGAGATCTATTTAACTATTTTTGTTTTTTAAAAAGTGGTATATTTTTCATAATTATTGGGTTGAATTGATTTGGGCAAAATGATGTAATCAACAGACAACAGAAACATGCCACATTAAAAGCAAAGAAGGTATTCAAGCTAGAATCTAAAGCGAAAATAGACAGAGCATGCATGATGTAATCCGTACGTTTAATTAAGATTATTTGTCACCCACACAATCCCTCTCCCTACTTTACTTTCTCACCTTTTCTCCTTTCTCGTTAAGAAAAGTGTTCCCTTTCTTATCTCAAACTTCATGACAAAAGAAGCCTCTCTTTTTCCTCTATAGTTTAAGGTTTCGTGTGTATTATATGATATTGGTAAAAAGTTTGCAGCATCATGTACATTGGCCTTTTTAATTTTGATTTACTGGAAATTTCGTTATCGTTGTTATTGTTAAGCATATAATCATTAATGTGCAATCCAATTATTAGTTTAGGTTTTTTTGTTGAGATGGAGCACATGCTTTAATTTGGTATCAGAGCTGATAAAGAAGAAAACGTGTTCATATAACCATTAATGTGCAATCTAACTACCAGTTTATGCTTCTTTTAGTTGAGATAAACTGGGTAAATTGTACCATTAATCGACAAAGGATTGTAAAAAAATTAATTAGTCTAGATTCCTTACAATGACCAACTCAAACTAAAAACATTAATAGATAACTTATACGAGTAGTCGAACTTAAAATATTGTGGTTACTAAACTAATTATCTGATCAACTTAAATGAGATTGTTTCATTTGTTTTATTTTGTTTTTGTTTTTTTTTTTTTTAATTTTTTAAACTCAATCTTAAACAAAACTTAGTACAAAACAAATAACTTTATAACAATTGAAATACAAAAAGGGACTGATGATATAATTATTGAGGGGTGAAAATTTTATTTATTTATAATTTAGTCGTTTTCGTTTGAATGAGATGCATCGTTTAAACGGGATAGAAAATATATTTTCATTAGATTTGGAGGCCACTAGAGTGGGGCCAAGTTAGGCAAGGAATTTTGCTGCCGACACATAACTACGTGAAAGAACAAATTTTATTTTTGGTTATTGATTATTGTATATATATCAAATTTGATTTTTAATTATTAATATTTACAAATTAGGTGTATGATTATTTAATTTGTATTATATTTAGTTCTTAAGTGTTAATATTTTTAAATTAAGTGTATAATTATATAACTTATATCACATTTGATTTTACTATTTAAATTTTTGACCAATTTTTTGATCATTATTGCCAGGTTTTCAATGAGAAAAATAATATTTTTGGTAATATTAGGCCAAAAATATTTTTTAATTAGAACATAGTATTTTTTGTTGTTGAAATTTTGATAATAATTGGCTGCAAAAACTTGATCAAAAAATTAAACAACAAGATCAAATATGATACCAATTACATAGTCATACACCTAATTTAAAAGTAATAATAATTAATAATCAAATACGATAAAAATTACATAATTATGTACTTAATTTAAAAATATTAATAGTTAAAGACCAAATTTAATACATATACAATAATCAATGGCTAAAAATAATTATTTTTCACCGTGAAATTCGAATTTCGGAGAAAAAGAAAATAATATTAGAAGGAAGGGCAAGTGTGTAAATTTAAGATTCCCCGCGAAATGATGAACTAATTTCAGCGCCATGTTCATAACGACAGCGCAGCATGAATAGGTGGTTGTACCCCCAACTTAAAGACAGGGACACACATGTCATTATCAGTATTCTCGCCTCCTTTCATGTCTTTTTCTTGATAACTCACCTTTGATTTTTACCAAACACCTTGCGCTTAAATGACATGGAGTGATTTTCTTATGAATGGTCATGAGATCAAGCTTAGCGGTATTGCCTCATTGTGCTATCAAATCCTATTGTTAGATAGAAGTTGATAAAGAGTAGGACCAAATTCAATATCAGTTAAAAATATAACAATATAAATAAATAAAAACATGTGTAAGACCGTCTTACATTTGTTATTATAAGTATTGCATTTGTATATTCACTCGACCCATGTGAGACCGTTTTACATTTATTATTATAAATATTACATTTACATATTGACCCGATCTGCATTTTAAATAAAAATTAATGAGATAATCTCACACAAATATCACCTATAAAGTTATATTTTTCAATTTTCACTACTAATTCAAATGTTTATATTTATAAATAATAATAAACCTTAATCTTAACCAATACAATCATAAAAATAATTAAGTGATACTTTTCATATGCTAAATTAATGTTGGGTTCCTTTCATTTCTTTCTCCTATATTTCCACCGTCGCACCGACTCACTCTCACTCACTGAACTCAGCTCAGTTTTCCTTTCTCTTTCTTAGTCTTGAACTCATATTTGATCTTTAGAAATGGGTTCTCGGAGCGGGTTGCACCAGCTGAGCAATGGGTTGTACGTGTCGGGGCGGCCGGAGCAACTAAAGGAGCGGCAGGCGACGGTGGCATTGCGCGCAGTGCCATACACCGGCGGCGACGTCAAGAATTCCGGGGAGCTAGGGAAAATGTACGGTATAGATTTCTCGAGCGGGGACCACTCGAGCCCGCCGGTGCCGAGGCTGTCTTCTAGAGCTTCCTCGTCTTCACAGCACACCAGCGGATCCGTCAGATCCGGCCCGAACTCCGGCCACCTTGCTCACAAAGCCAACGGCTCTGGCCCGTTCCCCAAGAAGTCCCCGTCCTCCTCCTTCTCCGGGCCAATCATGACGCCCATTCAGCCCACCGGGCTCCTCACCTCCGGCCCGTTGAGTTCCAGCAGCGTCGGCCGCCGCTCCGGCCCGCTCGAGCCAACCGCTTCTTTTAGCAAACCCGTCGTCTACGGCTCCGCGGTGACGAGCTTGAGTGAGGAGGTGAAGCTGCGGTTTAGAGTGTCAAGACTAGCAATGTGGGTGGTTTTGCTGCTGCTTCTGATGACTCTGGTGGTGGGGGCATTCTTGATGGTGGCGGTGAAGAAGGCGGTGATACTCCTGGCGGCGGCCGGAATTCTAGCTCCACTTTTCGTCTTCTTGCTTTGGAATTTTGCGTATAAGCAACGAGGATTTATGGGATTCTTGAAAAGATTCCCAGATTCTGAGCTTAGAGGCGCCATTGATGGACATTACGTCAAGGTCACTGGGGTAATTTCACACTCTGATCTTATACGCTCATATAGCTTCATTTTCAAGTTATATTACTCCTTAGGATTGTATTTTAGTTTACAATTGATGATTCCATTTTAATGGTAATTCTAGCTTGCACAGATCCTGGGTCATCTCCAAATTCTTGAAACTATGAATATAGTTTAGAAATTTTTACCAGAACAAAATAAATAAATTCATATTGATTGAAAGAAGTTTTCTCCAATGGAATCAATCATTCACATAAAGATGGGGTAGCTTGCTTACATGTGCCACACATTTCATAATTTGAGTGTTGTAATTTTGCACAAGATCATGCATATATCATAGAAGACATAAACAAATATTTTTTGTTAGTCTTATACAAACATTTTACATGATCTACTTAGTTTTTGAGTGACGAGAGAAACCCGCAGCCATTACTCGATCCTGCCTTTTTACCCTAACCGGCAAAAGACCACGAGGAGGTAGACCAGTTTAAATTGTTCATAGCTGACCGACTCAAATTAAGAAAGTCAATAGGTTGCTCTAGCTGGAGGTCGAACTTGTAACCTTGTGGTTGTGGAAATTGCAATATTATCTAGTTCATATGCATTATGCAACGTTTGGCACATGTAAGCTACTCCATCTATGTAGTACTTGAATGATTAATTCCATTGGAGAAATGCTTCCAAGAAAGTCCTTAATTCGAATGAGTCAATATGAATTTATATATTTTGTTCCGGTAAATGTTTCTTGTTATATTCATAGTTTCAATAATTCGGTGATTGATTGAAAGCTCAATTTTCTGTGCAGGCTTCAATTTTGATGGTAGCTGTGAGTAATTTTGTGGTCTTCCTTGTTTCGGTGTAGGTTGCCACTTGTGGCAGTATCCCTTTGGAAACATCTTTTCAGAAGATAGAGAGATGTATATATGTTTCGACTGAATTGTATGAATACAGAGGCTGGGGTGGGAAACCTGCAAATCCCCGACATTGTTTCTTTTCATGGGGACAAAGGCATTCTGAGGTTAGTCTCGAGCTGTAATGGCCTTAACAATTAAAGCATGTGCTCCATCTCAACTAAAGGTCTAAGCTTATATAGTTGGATCACGGCCCTCGACCTTTGCGCTGACTCTGATACCAAATTGAAGCATGTGCTCCATCTCAACTAAAAGCCTAAGCTTATAGTTGGATTGTACATTAATGGTTATATGCTCAACATTAACAAGTTTATGGGTTATGGATATTACTGATGGCTGTATTCTCCCCTTCCCAGTAAATAAATCTTTTTTTTTTTTGTTTTCTGTGTTCATATAGAAATATGTGGCGGACTTTTACATATCAGACTTCCAGTCTGGATTGAGAGCTCTGGTGAAGACAGGCTATGGCGCTAAAGTTGCTCCTTTCGTCACACCTTCAACAGTTGTTGACATAACGAAGAATAACAGAGAGCTATCTCCGAATTTCTTAAAATGGCTTGCTGACAGAAAACTCTCGAGTGATGACCGTATAATCCGCCTTAAAGAAGGGTAAGCTTTCAATTTACTTTTGGATAGTTCACTGGTTTTTGCATCGTGATCAATGATTGGCTTCGTGGCTTCATGTATTTGCAGTTACATACAAGAAGGTAGCACGGTAAGTGTAATGGGGGTCGTGAGGCGCCATGATAATGTGCTAATGATTGTTCCACCCGAAGAACCTGTCTCGACAGGTGTTCAATGGACTCGGTGTCTACTCCCAACTAACATCGAAGGTCTGGTCTTGACAAGCGACGACTGTCAGAATGCTGATGTGATTCCCGTATAGATTCTGTGGTAATGTTCTTCACTGTGATTCGGGCTATCTGGATGGCAACCAGGTATATATATATATATATATATATATATATATATATATATATATATATATATATATATATATATATATATATATATACACGCACTGAAAGCCAACAGACCTCTCTCGTTTTGCTTATGGGAGATTCAAGTGTGTGTAACATACGAGCATCGCCTCAACGATGAATGTGTAATGAGTGGGTTGATCTACGTTTTCGTAATTGTAAATCTATAGGGGATTGGAATGACAAAACACATTCCTCCCTTGAGGAGCAATGCAGTGTTACATTAGTTTGGTTACATTCCATGATGTTTTGTTTGTTTAAGCTGTGTATTTATGTTGTAAATAACTTATCTGAGATTGATTATAAATGCATATATATATGTTTTACCATTTTCTTCACATTCCTAGATGCAAGTGGAATGAATCTTTGTTGTTTAGTGAGAAAAATAGTGTTATATATAGGTTCTTGGAAAAATTTTAAGGTACTAGTTGGAGCCATGTTGTTTCGAACTGGGTAAACATATAGTGCTATCAAAATACCAATTGGTATGGTGGTGATTGACACCGTAAACATTTTTTTAGGTTTTAGTGGTAGATTTGGTAACACAAAAATCAATATCTTAGACGAAATGTACATTGAAATTTGAAAATATGCCAGTAATATATTGCCAAATGAATGTCCAAAATGAAGTGTAGTTCTCATATACATCAATGACCAATAAACTGAGCTTAATAAGAAAAAATATAGAGAAACACCATAATCAAATATATAGTATGGGTACACATTTCAGAATAGGCAGCAACACATCTGCAAAATAGTATGTATTCAATAATTATATCAATTTTAATTATATTATTATATACTCATCTTGTCAAAACAAAACAAAAGAATGAAGTTAAGTTTGACAGTAAATTTTTTATTTTTTAAAGAAAGCTGGCCGGCCGGCCTGTAATATGGCAAATTATTCTGTGACAAGGTGGACTCAAGTCTAAAGATACACAATTTACATACTAAATGTTTACAATTTATCTTTTAAAAATTCATAATTTGTGATACCCTGTATTGTATTCACAAATTCTCAAAACTTAGAAACACAATTTATGTTTTAGATGTTCACAATTTCAATACTAGAAATACACAATTTAGGACCAGGGTCCATGGTATAACAACTGGATTAATATATATTGTATGGATAAGTTGCATATATTTTGGTTAATCAGGAAATCGCAACCATTATTTAATGGTGTGCACTAGGTAAACTCTAAACACTTCTGTTATAATTCGCAAATTATACATAAAAGTTAAAAAAAAAAAATTCTATGCAACGGATTCGATCAAGAGAGGGTTACATACCTTTGATTTGGAAGGTTTGTGGGTGTAGGTGGAATGAAATGTGGGGTGTTGTTGATTGACATTAGGCAGCTTGGAGGCTGCAATCTGCTTTTCCTCCTTCACTTTGCTGAATATCATTGTGTATCCTTCTCCTGATGATTTTGGATCTATCTCATCCCATGCTCCAAATTTTGGCACTGATGCTGCTGATCTATATGACTTCAATTCCACACCAATAAATATAATTAATACCAAACATTATTATATCCATGGAATGTATTTATAATAACAAGTTTCATAGTTGTGCAGCAATAATAAAAACATCATCAAACAAACTAGTGAAAACAAAAAACAAAAACTCATATAAGATCGGTTCAAATACCATTTTTCTTGGTTAAATTCATGGGCGGGCAGGCAGGCATCCAGCAAGCTAAATAAGCAGCTAAAAATATTCTTACCAGATCATCGTAAGGATTACTCCTGCCATTTCTGGGCGTTTTAGGACTCGCGGCTGGAATGATGCTATTGCTACTGTCATTCTTCTTCTTCTTTAGCTCTGATCTCTTGCGCCGGTGGCATTTTGCAGAATGGCCGGAAAAGCTTTCCTCCGACGGAGACATGCTTTTCTTAGCACTTCTACTGTGATAGTCGTCATCGCGTGCCTGTTTCTCCGGTGACATGAAGCCAAAGGCGTCGGGATTCTCCTCCGGATCATTCGGGTTTATCATCTTCCCTCCGACGCCGGCGGCGGCGGCTTTGTCTCTACGGGCGTTGTCGAAGCAGGCGGTGTATGGCACATTGTCGCCGTCCCAGTTGCCGAATTTCGGAACGTGAGATGCCTTAATTAACGTTAAAACACACGAAATTAGAAATTATTGATATTTAGATACTTGTAATTATACAGTTTTTTATGAATATAAGTATAGAAATTGGTGAAAACAGTAAAAGAGGAGTTGGTTGCACTTACTGCCATGGATTATCAGGAAGGATTTGCTTTGTTTGATCTTCTTGTTGATTGTTAGTTTGAGATTTTGATAATGGAATGGAATGAGAATAATTCTTTCATAGAACTCTGGGATTGCGCGTGGGGCCATCTGATGACTCCTTCGGAGATCCCTACGAACATGAAAGACATGCTAAAAGGATAATTAATTCCTCCAACTCCAATAATCGATCAATATTGGTTTCCTTAACATTCTTGGAGCTTACAAACATAAACCACCAAGAATGGAAGTCGCTCTCAACAAGAAATTGTCAATGTTTTTCACCAATGCAAATGGGTGCCAATTCTGATCCCCAACTTCAAATATATTTTTCAATATTGCCAGACTAATCTAAATTTATTACTGAGCTTGTTACATTAGTAACAGCCTATTAGATAATGCATTTGTTATTCAAACTCACACTTATGTGACCAGATCTCAAGGTATTATAAGTAATTATGTTAAACTTGAAGTCTCATATAAAAGAGAAATGAAAGAAACTGTTGAATAATGTTTTATTATCTTATAAGAAATTAAACACCATTGTTGTTGCAAAAATGTGTACATTTCATTTGTTATACTTACATTTGACATGCAAAAGAACAACTAAAAAAAGTTTGCACACTACTACTCATAGTAAATATCTTATAATCAAGTGATATAAGGCCCTTATTTGTGATCGAGAAAACCCGCAACTACTGATCAAAAGATTGTAATCTTTTATAAGCTAGAAGTGTGCCGTGGGGATTTTGATCTGAGTTGAGAATCAGGAAATGCCAATAGTCTTGTTCAATATCCAGAGAGTAAGGGACAACTGAATCACAAAAATGGTGTGAAGCCATGTCCTGTCTAACATGAACCCATAAACAGTGATTCCTGCTTTGTTGTGTTCAAAATATGTGACTGCGCCAAAATTCAAAGTTGAAACCAATCAGTCCATGGAAATATAGTAACGCTATTCAAAGGATTGTACAGTACAACGTTGGAAGATAAGAAGACTGACCGAGAGCTTGTCTTTTGTGGTAGGATATAGTGTGTGCGTGAACAGGCACCATATTTGTGTTGTCCAGTTCGTCGTCTCCGTCTCCTTCTTCATCGTCATTTTCCCAATCGGCGTCCACAGGATGTATCGCCTGCGGCGTCCCGGTCCCGGTTCGGTCCACCGGAGTCTCATCGCCGAACTCATCAAAGGAGCTCAACGTTGCGCAGGCGTGCCACTTTGCAGCAAGGGAGGCAACCGATTGCGCTTTGTGTGTGATTTTCGCTGCACTTCTTAGGCATATGAAGAGCCCCGTGACCATAATCATGGAGCACAACTACACCACAACCAAACAACTTTCTTTTAGTTCAAACAAAATACAGCATTTAGCCAAGGCTGTGGTCGAGCAGCATAGCTGTGAGCCTGTGACCCCTCAAACACTGCTGAAAATTATGTAATTTTCGACCACCTAAAAGTGATCTTAAATCAAATTGAAAGTAAAAAGTGATCGGAAATAGCAACAGAAGTTTTTCCGGATACCAAAAGTGGTCGGACCAAAGTTTTCGACTTGATTTAAGATCAATTTCGGGTGGTCAAAAATTCCATAATTTCCAGTAGTGAAATGAGAAGTCTCAAGTGATTGTTGAGTAGAGGTCTGAATGACCAAGTCCATATCTTAGACTGGTTATAATTTTCACTGCTGGAAATTATGTAATTTCCGACCACCTGAAAGTGATCTAAGTGAAAAGTTTTGTTCCGACCACTTTTGGTATTTGAAAAAACCTTTGTTGCTATTTCCGACCACTTTTTACTTTGGAATTGATTTAAGATCAAGTGGTCGGAAATTTCATAATTTCCCGCAGTGTTTTTTGTTACCAAAAAATATCATTCAATTTGGTATCAAAGTCAATCTTACCCCGAGCTCTGCAGCTGCGAAGATGTGGGCGTGGGATTTGGACTCGGTTGTGACGAGGAGGGAGACGAACTGGCTAGCCGTAACCACGATCAAAGTGGATAAAATGAACAGCCTGAAGCGATGGCTAATGACACGGAGGTTTCTTCTGATCCGAAGATGTTCTATCAAGATCGCAGAAACCTCGGACTCTTTCTCGAAAACCTGGGCAAACCCATCCAGCCTCAGTATCTGGAGATGGCATATTAGCCTGAAAAGAACACACACCAGAAACGATATTGCAATTCGATACAGCCATGAAGACAACAGTAATATACAGATGACAACGTTGCTCAAGATCATGTTATAGAAGTAAGGAATCTGCCCTCCTCCCGTGACAAACCACCAAATCTTGTACGCACAATCTGCTAAGAACGTTGGCAGAACAAAAGATGCCAGGATCTTTAACGAACTCTGCATTAAAATCACAAATAAACATATGACTTTGTAATATCATAGCTCAATGATTTAGTATATAAATCAGACTTACATGAATCTGGAGGGTATAACCTTGTTGAACCTTGTCGTTTTCTTCACATAATCTATCAAGAAACAGGAATTTCCTGACACCATATCTCCTTGCAAAGCAAGAGAGGCTGATGAAGGAGATGGTTGCGAAGACAGAAAGGGAAAGCTGCACAATAGCATTAAATGGCCTCTGGTGTTTGGAATCACAGGCGTCGCAAGAGAAAACTAAGTAAGAAACGAGGGGAACCCCGATTGTGAGGATGAAGAAGAGTGACCAAGAGAGACCGGCCCGCCATAGATTCGATTGATCAAGAAACAGCCATGCCAGCGCCGACATTAACCTCTTCACTTCACGTGCGTTGGATATTTCATGATATGATGACGAGATTAATGCTGTTTTGCTCAGTCTGAGAATGATCTCTGTTTCTTCGTCGTCTTCCATTGCTATTGGCTTCCCTTGGTTGGTTGATTGCTTCAATCAGGTTCTGGGTTTTATTGTTTTGTTGATCATCGGATCAACTTGGCATTAATGGATTAATGCTGGAAACTCGATCATTTTAAATCCGGAAAGGGAACCGACTTTGTGATTGTGACCCGTGTAAAATGTAAAGTCCCATGCCACCTGACTCTTTAGGGGCGTTGAATAGTTACGTTTGATACTTCCTACGACATTGGGCAACCAACTTTGTGCTTTGGTTTAATTTATCGGGACTAACTTGGAAGCTTGTGATTACTAATGATAGATACACTAGAAGTGGAATTGGGTTGAACCGAACCTGGGAGGCGAGCAAAGCGACCCGACCCGGGACCTTAAGGTTGCTCAGAGCCGAATCAAAGACACCGATGCCAACCATAGTGTCCGGACTCGAGTTCTAGCTCACCCTGACCCTAGCGACGCGGTCAAGCCATATCCGCCTGCCTACCCTATGCATGAAATAATTAAATTTCGAAAATTATAAACAATTTCTTCATTGCATCATGTACTAACTTCAAAACTTTTTGGGTTATACATACTCCTCAATATGTAAAAAAACACATCTATATAGTATCGATTAGTGCTTTTTTCGTAGTTGAATTTTTGGTCACATAAGACAAGACATGAACCCTAATATTTCAACCATTGAGTGGTGCTAGATTTCGACACTCAAGAACTAAAGAATTTGTCAGTTAGGTCTCTCGATAAGAGAAACTTAGATGCCAACTCAATTTAGGACTAATTCAATCATGAATCACTTTGTGTCCTGTAAGCATTTCTATTTTGTATACACATAGTTTTAATATTCTTTTAAGGTGCAAAGGGGATATAAAATGATTGTTACTTTGTACTATATTATGTGTAGGATAATAGTTTATTTACAATATTTGACGTCCTTGATGCACCTAACCTAAATTGGATATAGATAACAACAAGTGTGAATTGAATATTTGTTATGTTTACCCTCTTGGTATTGTATCAATTTTGGGTGAGTTCTAAGGATTTGATCAAGAAATAGAGTAATACAAGTTATACAATCAGCAAATTAACTCAAGGAAAGTGATGTCTTCATTAATGCATTACGTAATATTCATGACGACTCTTGTCTTATACTTCGTATTGTATTTGAAAAAAACAATCATTAAATTGTATTATAACTTATAAGTCAGTGTAATATTATAAAAATGGTGTTTAGCCTTTTGAGTATGTGTAAAGGTCGCTGGTTTGCATCATCACGTGACCCTAATGCCTGAGGAACAGGCAACCTTGGAGAGCCGGAAACTCAAATCCATGAATCCATCCATTCTGGAAGTTCCTTCCAATAAGGAAACATTAAAATTCCCAAAAAAGAAAGAATTAGTGGCTGTGGTTTAAGGTGATTACCGTTGAAATTAAAATGTATTAGGAGCAGACACGTCACACGTCGGAGGACGTGAGGGTTGATGTTGGCGGCTGCCGGCTGGATGGTCGGATGTTATTTTGGTTGAGGGTTTCACACTTTCACCTTAAAGCTTCTACTTTCAATAAGAAGTTGTCATGTGTCAATGCCTTTTATCATATCTCTTTAGCTAATATTCACATTCCTCTCCACATAGTGATACAAATCGAGACCCTAACTACGTTGATACGAATCAAAACCTTAATTATATATCATAAAAGCTAGCTAAATTGATACGAATCAAAACCTTAAATACTTCACAAAAGTCAATTCATAAGTGTAAATTTGACAACCAAGTAATTTGTGGTATGATGACATCACTGTTACTATTCTAAACGGGAGATCACATGTTTGAGTTCCATCCCAATCAATGGATATTGGCAATACTTGGCATAATCATGTTGAACGAATACTATAAATAGGATTAGATTGTAGTTTGATTCTTCTACTTTTTCATTGAGTAGCAAGAAATTTTAAGGGTACGAGTGTTTACTAATTTGAGAAATTGTTTATTTGTCTTAAAGATTAAAAAGCATGCATTTATTAATTAGAGAAATTGTTTATTTTTCTTAAAGATTAAAAGCTAGAGAAATGAAAAAAAAATGGAAGAATTTGTTTATTTTTTATTTCTCTAATTTGAAAATTGGAGAACAATTTCTATTTTTTCTCCTTCTAATTTCTCAATTTTGATGAGCCCGATGTGGCCTATACAAGAATAACAAAAGTCTGGCCAAAATATTTCCAATTTCGGGCTTTTTTCACAGACCATTGAAAAGCCCAATAAAGGCCCAATTCAGCCGCCGGGAGAATATGCCGTAAACGGGGTATTAGAAAGACGACAATTCAGCTCACCGGTAAAGTGATAATAACTAAAATATCCATTTCCCGTTTTGCAAATCAAGGACAGAAGTCTTCAAAATTTTCGAAAATGACCCCTTTCTTCTTTGACTATAACACCCACACCACCGTCCTCTTTCCCGCAGCTCCGTCCACTGATCCACTACCCAGTTTGAATTTTCCCTGGATTGCGATATTCCAATTTTTCTATCTCCTTTCCTCTCGTCAACACCTTCGAGCTCTCCGTAGGAAAACTGAGAAGTGAGGGAAGAAAATATGGCGGCGGTTTCTATGATGTTTGGAGTCTCAGCATCTTCGCATGCATCTTTCACACCAAAGGGGATCGGAAATTCATCTGCTTTGTTCACTTCCAAGACCCCTTTCCGGTTTAGCTCCCCCATTTTCTTTCAGCCTTCTTTTTGGTCTTCCCCGCGATTCCTCTCAAGGTAAAGTTTTCTTTTGTTTTGTTTTTGTTTTTAGCTCAAGGGAAAGACATTTATGTGCATAGTTCTAGGGTTTATCAAGCTATACTGCAGTTTCTTTAAGGTGTTGTTGTTTGTGGTGAGGGTGGAAATTAGAAAGAAAAGTATAAATGAATTCATTATTTGTGAGGTTTTCATTTTCTGATTGTGTAGCAGAAATTAACCATTAAATTATAGGCATCAGCTTGTGTTATATATGTGAATCAGTTTATGTGGTTCTTTGCCATTGATCAGGCACTGTGAGGAATAATGAGATTGAATTAACTAAAAAAGCTCTTGCATTTAGATGTTTGGAGCCAACATGTAACAGTAAGATCAAATTTTAGAATTGAAATCCTTAGGTCATATGAGCTTATCACTGTGGCATGGTTCAGTCTGAAACTGGTTAGAACTACGGTACTTGAGGAGGATTTGCACTGGGTAAACCTTGTATCGACCCTAACCAGTAAAGGACCACTGGGAGGTAAACCAGCCCAGTTTGCCTATAGCTCACGGGCGGGCTCAAACTAGGAAGGAATCGAACTTGTAAGCTTGTGGTTACCAAGTGATTTGCGTGACCAACTTGGCTGGAGTTGCCCCTTTGATCTAGTTTTCAAAATATAACAAAGTTAGCTTATTTATTTATGTTGTGCTTCACTTGCAAAATGATGCAGGGAATCATATAGAGTCAAAGCAACAGTGATACAAGAAACTGAAGATCAAGTGGTCATAGAGGAATCATCCCCACCAAAGAGTTCTCCTGGAAGCGGAGGAGGAGGAAGCAATGGTGAGCCACCACAAAATACATCCTCTAATGGTCTTGAGAAATGGGTCATAAAGTTGGAGCAGTCTGTAAATATCTTTCTTACGGTACAAATTGCAATCCTTAAATCTGTTCTTATGTTTTCCCTGTTGTGTTCATCTACGTATGCTGTCTATACTACGGAACTTCATCTTTGATATATGAATATCAGTGCCATTTCCAAAAACTGATAATTTCATCTGTCTATGCTTGTTTGTCACATATTTACATGATACTCTTTATGGTTCTGTTTATGTGGTTCAATGATGAAATAGGTCAGTGGAGGACTGGAATGAATGACAAAATTAGTTGTGCTTCCCTTGGGAAAGCTATTGTCTGTTCTTGTTCGAAAATGAATCTGTCATGTCTTAATGAAATTGCTTTGAATCTTTCAGGATACAGTGATAAAAATGCTCGACACTTTGTACCATGACAGACACTATGCAAGGTTTTTCGTTCTCGAAACTATTGCAAGAGTTCCTTATTTTGGTAATTACTCTGCTAGATATCTCAGAGTAGTTAAGATTGACTTTAGTATCTTAGTTTGAATCTTTTAATAAACATGGCCCCTTTTCTAAACACTTGTTCTCAATTAATAATAATTTTGGTTGCTTTATCTATTGTGGCAGCATTTATGTCTGTTCTGCACATGTACGAGAGTTTTGGTTGGTGGAGAAGAGCAGATTATTTGAAAGTGCACTTTGCCGAAAGCTGGAATGAGATGCACCATCTGCTCATAATGGAAGTAATGCTCGTACTTCAATGCTATTTCAACTTTCAAAAGTCACCACTATTTGAAAAACCCAAAAATGAGATGTTTTTCATCTTGCACCAGAAACTACTTAAATGATAGAATGTATATTCACTGACAGTTCTCATTTACTTCTGCTGCATTTGGAGATGCAAGAAGATTGAGAACAGCATGCATTGGGTTCTCGATTCACCTGGCTAAATGATAGTGGTGATTCTATTGCAGGAATTAGGCGGAAATGCTTGGTGGTTTGACCGCTTTCTTGCTCAACATATTGCAATTTTCTACTATCTCATGACAGTTTTTATGTATGCCCTGAGCCCAAGAATGGCATGTAAGTATACATACCTTGTATCTTTGTGTTGTTTTCTGGCTTGTTCTGAGAAAAAAATTCGTGGGTGATTTTAAAGATATTGACATAATGCATGAATGAGCATATTTAACTAATTTGACTCCTTCAACCACAGATCATTTCTCAGAATGCGTGGAGAACCATGCATTTGAAACATATGACAAATTTATCAAAGCTCAAGGAGGTATTTGTTTATATATGTACATCTAATGACAATATTATTGTCGCTAAGTATAATCTGTTTGGCTGGCATTACTTGAGTATGAAACTTTGACTTGCAGACGAGTTGATGAAACTTCCTGCACCAAAGGTTGCTGTAAGATACTACACCGAAGGCGATTTGTATTTGTTCGGTGAGGATCACAACACCACCTTTCTTACTCTTCTTACCACATCGTCCTCATTCTTTACTAACCAAAATGCTCTATAATTGCATCAGATGAATTCCAAACGTCAAGGTTGCCCAATACTCGAAGACCAAAAATAGGTAAATATAACTACTTGTGGCATTATATTGGCGAAGATGATTCGATTCAAGTGAGGTGATTGAAGTGCTTTATGTGTAGATAACTTGTATGATGTGTTTGTGAACATCCGAGACGACGAAGCTGAGCATTGCAAGACCATGAAAGCATGTCAAACTCACGGCAGCATACGCTCGCCTCACTCGTATTCAGATGATGATACGGGTGACGACATTTCGGAGTGTGATCTCTCGCAAGCTGATTGCGAAGGCATTGTTGACTGCATAAAGAAATCTGTTTCTGATTCTCAAGTAGTCCGGGGATAGGGCATACTATTACTGCATACCATAAGATATTCAAGTGTGAATAGAAAAATACAACCACATATTATAGATTGTAGATCCAAAGATCCAATATAGTTGGACTTATTCCTGAAACGGATATTTTCTCCGATGGATTGATCGGAGATTAGGAAATCACAGGCTTGAAGTGACACGATAATGTTCGTCCATTTGTTTTACATGAATATCATCTACTTTCACCCAGGTTCAGATTGTACTGGAAATTATCATTAAATCTAGGCATTAAACAGTCATTTAGGTTGAATCTGGTTTCTTAAACCTGGCCTATCAGAGCATTTGGAGGATCTAATTAAGAGTTCTACTACATAGACTCTCAAAATTTTACTCCCTCATTTATACTCCTGCACCAGGATTGGTTATTTTCTATCATGTGGGTCCACATGAAAGGGAGTATCCTGTAATTATACAGTCAACCGACTAACTGTACATTAACTTATTGTAACACCTTTAACATTTTAGGTGTTTAGTTGGATAAAAGAAAATTGTTCTCCATGAAATTTTTTTAAAATTTGAAAGAAAATTAAATGCTCCGTTTGATGGTTTGATGAAAAACTTTTGTTTCAAGACTAAGGAAACTTTTTTACACTCCTCTCTCTTAGTATTTTGATTTTTATTGAAAAAGTTTTCTATTAAAAATTAATAAGATAATTTTGTCCTCTAACTTTTCTCATTACCTTTATTTTTATAGATAATTATTATATATAAGTATATTAATTTTTATATTATAAAAGGATCAAATAGGCAAAAAAATCAATTAGACCTCTACATTTTAATGTACATTTTACAATAAAACAAACTTTTCGAATAAAATTTAAAAACCTATTTGATCATTTTATTTAGTCTATTTATGATCGCTCATTCTAAAAAATCACTTCATAACACTAAACCATAAATCATTAAGTATTACTCCATATTTCTTATCTTATAATTCTAAACCCAATCAAACACTAAAAATATTCCTCATAATGTCTCCTTTATCATCCAAAGCAATTAATTTTTTTGATAATTGTTTTTTATAAAATTTCAATTCCATTTTTTCACAAATATTTTCCGTGAACCGAACATGCCGTTATTTCGGTAGATATTAATACTATGCGTCAAATCGTTAATCACTTACGGATAATTATCATCCTCATCTTCACCAATGGCGAAAAAATGCCAATATATTTCCAGAATCAAACAAGAAAACCAAACAAACTGAAAAAAAAAAAAAAAAAAAAAAAAAAAAAAAAAAAAAAAAGGTGAAAAGAGGAAGAAGAATGTGGACGAGCAACAATCGAATCGTCAATGGAGAGAAGTGACGACCGAAACGATATCTCGCCATCATCATTTTCGCCTCCCTTATTATACAATACAATGAGAAGATAAACTTCCATAATTATCTCTCATTGCGATCAGGAGGCTATCATCAATTCCTCAAATTTTCACAATACACATATACACATACACAGATTCACCGCCGGTGAAGAGAGAACTGCATCTTAGAAATTAGAATGAATGAAGAGTGAAGACGTAGGTAATGGCGTAGCAATGTATTTATAGAGCCAGAGTGAGCGAATGATGTCAACCCTAATTGTAACCTGTATATGCAATTACAACATTGCCCTCGTTAGGACGTGAATTAATGTACACTACTCTTATTATATTTGTAATTTACACGATATATCTTTTATATTTATATATTTTTACTAGTATTTTTTATGCGCGATGCGCAAAAAATAGGTGCCCAATATTAATACATTATATTAAAATTTTAAATTTTAGATATTTAAATTATTCTAAATAATAATAATAATAATAATAATAATAATAATAATAATAATAATAATAATAATGTAAATTATTTTTATAAATTTGATATTTATATTTATGTAATAATTAACATATAACTCAAATATTTAATGTGTATATATTATTATTGATGAAGAAGATAAGAAAATATATGGTGGAGGCATGTGCATGGTAACAATAGTGGAAAAGATAGCGGAAGTTATAACGGTAGGGGTATGTTTGTCCAAAATATTTTAATGTACAACCTTTATAGCATAATGTACAAAAAAACTTAACGGAAAAAACGGACATAAATCAGGGGTATAACTTTCATTCACACTTATTATGTTTTTAGATAACTCGTCAATTACAAGGGTATTTAAGAAACGTAAATGATATAATAAAGGACAAAATATGAAAAATAGTAAAAAAAAAAATACTAAAATAAAAATAATATGAACAATTCATTTCAACAAATAATTACACCAATATTTTTAGTTCACGTTAAGAGTATAGCTTTATAAGCTTTTAGAGAAAGGCCCTGTTTGGTAAAATGGTTGTTTGCTGTTAGCTGATTGTGTTAATTAGAAGGTATGAATAGTTGATAATATTAGCTGATTGTAGAAAAGTGTTTGGTAAATTAGCTGTTAACTGATAGCTGTTTGGTATAATTTCTTTTCTCAAAAAGCTAATTGAAAAAGTTGCTTGGAGTAACTTTTTGAATTTTAGCCTTTTGGAGTTGTAAAAAGCTAATTAACCAAATATTTATATTGATATTTTAACTAAATCAAACAATTAATAGTGGTCAAATAAGCCAAAATTGGCCTATAGGCCAATTTTTTACCAAACAGGGCCATAATGGTCAAATATGCCCTTAAACTTTACCCAAAATGTCAATTAGGTCTCTAAACTTTTTAAAAAATCAATTAAACACTCAAACATGTCAAATTGGGTCAATGAAGCCCAAAAATCGACAAATGACATGTTATTACAGGTCATTTCAATTTCAGCCACCAGTGACGAATTCCAGCGAACGGCGACAAAATCCGGCCATCGGTGACAATTTCTGGCTGTCCGATCGTCTTTCATTGGAGAAGCCGACCGGACGACCGCCTTCTCCAATCTTCTCCATTGGAGAAGGCGGTAGGCGGCCGTCTTCTCCATTGGAGAAGATGAACAAATCTGGTCGTCTTCTCCACTAGAGAAGCGCGGCAGTGGAGAAGGCGATCATCCAGTCGTCTTCTCCAGTGGAAGACGACCGGACGGCCTGGAATTGTTGTCGGTGGCTGGAATTCATTATCAGTGACCGGAATCCGTCCCACGGAATTGAAATGACACGTAATAACAGGTCATTTACCGATTTTTGAACTTTATTGATCTAATTTGACATATTTGAGTGTTTAATTGAATTTTTTTTAAAAGTTTAGGAGCCTAATTAACCTTTGAGGTAAAGTTTAAGGACTTATTTGATCCTTTTCTCTAAGCTTTTATTAAGTTTGTAGATGTAGATTGTAGATGATCCTGTTCTTATTAGGTTTGTAGATATAAATTGGAGTTGTAGATATATGAACAAATGAAAATAATTGAGACCTATGTAACATATAATTTTGTTTAAGATATAGTAATAATTTACAATAGAGTTAATTACCGAAATGAAGGGTGATTAAAGCAAATGAATTTTGATCAACGCCCTACCGCCCAAAAATGGGGTCCAATATAGATATTCATTTTTAGCTTGTACCGAGTTAGCAAGAAGTGTGGTGGTATCTAGGGTTTCAAACACCAAAAACCCCAGCTTTGCAGAGTGCACACTCTCAGTGCAGTTCTTCCGACGCCTGCTCCGTTCAATCCTTGACTCCTCTATATTCAGCATCCGGCTCTTCAAGATTCATTCACAAAACAATCAATTCTGCGTCTTGATAACTGTAAGTAGCTACTCCTCTCACTGCAGTTCCCCCCAGAATTTCTGGATAACAAAATTTTTAAATTTTGATTTTATTTATGCAGTAAAACATACTTCAATAGAAGGGTAGACTGAATTTCTTTGCTTACATACAATAAAGTTCGAGTCTTGGATTGTTTTGAGGGGAGGGGAGGGGACTATATGGGGAAATCAGGTGGTAAGAAGAAGAAGGGGGGTGTTAACCAGAACCAGGGGTCTGGAGGGAATATCCAAACACCAGTTGTTAATGGCAGCGTTGAATTGGACTCGTCACTTTTGTTGAAAAGAGCTCATGAGCTCAAAGAAGAAGGGAATAGGAGGTTTCAGGATAAGGATTTTGTGGGTGCTCTTCAGCAATATGAGAAGGCCCTCAAACTTACCCCGAAAATGCACCCGGACCGAGCTGTGTTTCATAGCAACAGGGCTGCTTGTTTGATGCAAATGAGGCCCATAGACTATAATACTGTGATTTCTGAATGTACAATGGCGCTCCAGGTTCAGCCTCAGTTTGTCCGGGCCCTTCTTCGCAGAGCCCGTGCTTACGAGGCTATTGGGAAATATGAGATGGCGATGCAAGATGTGCAAATGTTATTGAATGCTGACCCGAATCACCAGGATGCTCTGGATATTGCTGGGCGAATGAGGATGGCTCTTGGCCCTCGCCAGGAGGCCCAACAGGATCTTCAGAGCCGCCCATCGCCAGCTGCCCTTGGGGCCTCTGCAGTGGGTGCAGCTCCAATTGCTGGCCTTGGGCCATGTTTGCCTGCTCGGCCAGTGCCCAAGAAACCAACACCTTCGGTTGGGACTTCAGCACTATTGGCTAATAACAAGCATAATCCAGCCTTGCCGACTGAAAATGGTGTTCAGGCTAAAGTTCAATTGCCAAAGGTTGTTTTAAAGCCTTCAAATGGTTCTCTCAAGCCTAATCCAATCCCAATTAAGGATGACAAAAAGGAACAGACATCGTCATCTGTGTCAATCACTACCCATGGGCATTCAAGACAGGCTGTGATTCTTTGGAGGTCTCTAAAGCTTGTTTATGATCATGACATACGTCTTGCAAAAATGCCTGTAAATTGCAGTTTCAGAGAGTTGAGAGATGTCATTAGCAAACGCTTTCCAATGTCAAAATCAGTTCTCATCAAGTATAAGGATAACGATGGTGATTTGGTGACAATAACATGCTCAGCTGAACTAAGATTAGCAGAGGCTGGCGTGGACAATCTTGTACCTCAAGACCCTGACACAGAGAAAGGAGATTCTATTGGGATGCTGAGATTGCATATTGTTGAGGTGAGTCCAGAACAAGAACCACCTGTATTGGAAGAGGAAGAGGAGAAACCCGTTGAGAGCGAGGGTACTAAAGCAGATGAAAGTGTATCCCATTCTTCTCTGAGTGATTCGGTGGTGGATACTGTTGATAGTGAGATTAACAAGGTAGAGAAGATCATTGAAAAGGTAAAATCTGCGACATCAGAAGATCCCGAGTCCAAGGAAGTGGAGATGGATGATTGGTTATTTGAGTTTGCTCAGTTATTCAGGACCCATGTTGGCATTGACCCGGATGCCCATATTGATCTGCATGAACTTGGAATGGAGCTGTGTTCTGAAGCACTTGAGGAGACAGTGACTAGTGAAGAGGCTCAAGCTCTCTTTGACAAGGCAGCATTAAAGTTTCAGGAAGTTGCGACACTGGCTTTCTTCAATTGGGGAAATGTTCATATGTGTGCAGCAAGGAAGCGGATACCCATTGAGGATCCTGGCTCGAAGGAGTTGTTGACTTCGCAGCTCCAGGCTGCTTATGATTGGGTGAAAGACAAATATTCTCTAGCCAAAGGCAAGTACGAGGAGGCCCTTTTAATCAAACCAGACTTCTATGAGGGTTTGTTGGCATTAGGACAGCAGCAGTTTGAAATGGCAAAACTGCACTGGTCTTTTGTTTTGGCTAAGAAAGAAGATCTGTCAAATTGGGATGCAACCGAGACATTTAGGCTTTTTGACAGCGCAGAAGAAAAAATGAAAGTAGCAACTGAGATGTGGGAGAAGCTTGAAGAACAGAGACTTAAAGAGCTGAAGGATCCTAATGCAAGCAAGAAAGATGAACTTAAAAGAAGGAAGAAGCAGGGAAATGGTCCTGACGCTGAATCCTCGGCTGCTGGTGAAATTTCTGCTGATGAAGCTGCAGAACAAGCTGCTGTAATGAGATCTCAAATACATTTGTTTTGGGGTAACATGCTCTTTGAGCGGTCTCAAGTTGAATGTAAATTGGGGTTGGCTGGCTGGAAGAACAACCTTGATACTGCAGTTGAGAGGTTTAAGCTTGCTGGGGCTTCTGAGGCTGATATCTCGACCGTTCTGAAGAATCATTGCTCCAATGAAGCAGCTGAGGAACCTGAGAAAAATGTTGCCAGCATTACGGCTAAAGTGGCTAATGAAACAGAAGACAAGGATGATGCCGATCAAATGTAGTGAATCTTTGCATTTACGTGACAAGGATGATGCCGATCAAATGTAGGGAATCTTTGCATTGCATGGTGCCTTTAATCAATCAACTACCTTAATGCCCTCATTGCAGGTCCTCGTTGGAGGAAATGAAATTGTCATTTTAAGGATCAAGTTTGAGGAGCCATTTATTTTTATATTAAGGTAGCAAATTGGCTTCACATTTTTTGAAGATTGCACTTTCAGGATATTTATTCTGTGGCAACAAGTTTTTAACTGTCGTCATTGTATGGCAACTAGTTTTTAACTGTCGATCTGACGAAAGTTTTCCCTTGTTGATGAGCTTCTATATGAACACTTCCACGTCCATGAAAACAAATATTTGGCTGTTGAAGATCAATTGTGATTTTCTTCTTAATTTGACGGGTTTTGATATCATCAACTGTTGGATAGTTATCGCAAAATGTCATTTACCTTTCTCTTACTAAATTCTTCTGTCTTATTGGTGTTTTTTTTTTTATCCATTTGCCCTAATGGCCATAGAAAAAGACTTGGAGTTTGAAGATCATCTGTACTTTCACTTACGTGCGTGAAATGTCTTAGAAGTAACCTCAGCCACATCCAACTTAATAGCTTTTGCTTTGTCTTGCTTTACAGATACATATACTCTTTTCTAGTATGAGTGGAAATGGATATTATCTTAAAGTTCTCCACTTTCATGATTTTTTTTTCTTTGTGGAGATTAAGGCATTATGTTCAAGACAAGACCACTTAAGGTTTTAATAGTGGAATAATGACATAAAGTTTCAAAGATTAGCTTCCTTGAAGTACGCTAATATCCCTCTCCTGACCCCTTGAACACTTTAGAATGTCATTTCTTATGCTTAAATCTTTCTTTTGAGTTTTGAGTTCTGGCACTGTGCTTCCCCACCTCTTTATTCCCTTACTTTAAGAGCATTATTATTGATTTGTTTAGACATTTTTATCGAGAAAATGTTTCGGGATAGAATATGCAGAAGGGGTGTTAGTACTGTGAAGTTTTAGCACAGGGAAAGTTTATAACACTGTTAGAAGGCTTTATTCATGTCAAGTGATGATAACTGATAGAAGTAATAGAAAATTCTGTGGTGTTTGTTAGCTGTAAATGCTCTCACTTTCAGAAAAAAACGACTTTTTTGTTTATACTCTTTTGTTACAGTAAATTACTTTTTGACTTTTAAGATAAGATGTTATTCAAGACATTCCCTTTTATGTGAAGGAGCACACACATCATACAGTAGCTGAGATTATTTTATATTAAACTGCACCAGTAAGGGTTTATTGGCTTCAGGAGAAAACCCGAAAATATTGCTAATTTGATGATTCATCCCATAATGAAAACTACAAATGACAGTACATAACCCATAAACAACCTTAACAGACTTGATTAGTGTTGTACCAATACATTAAACTCCAGCATAATTGTTCATCTTTGTAGTTGGGGGCTTATTTCTTAAACAGTGGCAATTGGAGAGCTGTTCACTGGGCTTTCCATGGTCTTCATGGCTTCAAACCTCGGCTCCTTGGCCTGGAACTTGAGCCCTGCATAAAGCTTCATGTAGTCCTCAAACACGAATTTTGGGTACTTGTGTTTGTTCTCTTCTGCTTCTTTCTCGACTAATGCAGGTGCTGGGAAGATCACAGCATCGCTCCCCGGGTTGTAGAATGACGCTAAGGACATCCTGTTGCCGTCTGTCTGAGCAATCACTCGGTGCAGCACGCTCTTGTATTTCCCGTTTGTTATCACCTTCACCGGAAAAAAAGATCTCTCGGTGTTAGAATTACATACAAGGTAAGGATGCAGTGTTGAGCATATAATATCAGTGTTGCAAAAATCGCACGGTCGGCCTCCTAGGCGCCCGTCTAGGCGTTCTAGGCGGTCCCCAGGTGCCTAGAGGGCGCCTAGCGATTTTTTCAACATTGTATAATATTGTAAATATAACTGTATAGTTTCACTATCAGTTTAAACTTTGTGGTTTTAACATATGGTGTGAGGGGTACCTCGAGCTGGTCACCGATGTTAACAACGATGGAGTGGCGCATAGGGGGGACATCGACCCACTTGTCGTCTTTGAGAAGCTGCAGGCCACTGACCTTGTCATCCTGGAAGAGAAGGATGATCCCACCGGCATCGGTGTGTGCCCGGAGGCCCTTGATGAGGTCTGGCTTGGGACATGGAGGGTAGTTGCTGACCTTAGTGCCAAAGTTAGGACCTTTTGAGCCAGAGAAGGCCTTTTTCAGGTACCCTTTTTCCAGGCCAAGATTCTCACACAGCAAATCCAAGAGATTCTCAGCCAGCTTCTCCAGCTCCATTGCAAACTCCTTCATAACCTTCCTGTTATCTTTCCAATAATTAGTCCAAGAATTGGGACCAGAAAGGACCATACATACATGTGTCAAAGCTAATCTCATTGGTCCTATGATAGGACCATGATGTGCTGTCAATGTTACTGTGGTCCTACATAGGTGTGAAACTGTGACTAGCTGTGTTGTAGTAGTTGAACAGGAAACATCCCAGATTGTGGGAGAGCACAGTTGTGTTTTTGGAAGCATTATATTATAGATTATAGAAAATTAACCTGTAATGATCTTCAAGATCAGGGATTTCAGAGATGTTTGAGACAGGGAGATGCTTCAAGAAGAAAGTGGATTCCCAGTCAAGATCATTGATTTCAGTCTGAACAGCATCAAGCCCCTTAGCAGCCACCATTTCCTTGAACCTTTGCTCCATACATTTCTTGTAGTGATCTTTGGTCAGCTTCTCCACAGTGTCCATAAGCTCAATAGAAATCCCATGATCCACCAACTGAAACAAACAAAAAAAAACACAAAAAAGCTAAGAAAGTGAACAAGAATTCAAGAACATTTGTATTTGATGCAGAAAACCAGAAAATGAACCTCAAAGAACCCCCAGTTTTCACAAGCATCTTTTATTTGTTCCATGATAGCAGGCCTTTCTTCAGTGTTAAGCTGCGCCAAGTTAATAATGGGGAAAGAAGCCATCTTTCTCTGCCTTTCTTCTTGAAAAAAAAAGGGAATGTTTTCTCCAACTCTCTCACTCACTCACTCTGTATGTTTGTTTGAGGGATGAAGAGAAAGCAATACCAGGGAGGGGTATTTATAGGCCAAGGCCAGTGAGGACTGATTTATTTATTTATTCAGGAAAAAGAAATGACAACTTTAGATTTTCAAAAATAAAAATTACAACTTTAGGAAAATGCAAAGAAAAAACCCACAAATATGGTGTTGGTAAAAGAAATTAACCACCCTAAGTTCACCATCCAATGTATGCTAAACAATTGTTAAATAAACAAATCCATCCATAACATTAATCGAATGGATGAGAAGTCTCACTTAAGACTTGTTTTTACTGACAGTATGGGAGTTCAATTTCCCAACCAACATTTGAGATTTGGGTTGGACTTCTCCTTGTGTGCAAGAAGTATACAGTTTTGCGTTGAATCTCAAAACTAAATTGACTTGATTTACCTCCTCATAAGTCTGTGATAAGTTCATGGGGTCCATGAGCCTTGACTACTCACAAATCAACATACCCTCATTTTATGTGGATTGAAACTCTTATTGAAAGAACTATACATATCCCATTTGTGAACCCAACAACTTGGTTTAAAGGGAGACATTTCCATTCCATATAGATCACGTATTATTGGTAAAGGTGTCTAATTAAGGTGGGTATAAAGTTTGCAACATGATTTGAGATGAGAGAAGTGGTAACAGGAATCGTGGAGGACGTATGTGAACACATCCCTATGGACCCCTACCAATTTGGCCGAAGCTGTTGGAAGAAATTAGCCATGGCTCATTATGCCTATCTTTTTATTCATCAATCTTTTGCTTTAATTTGCTTGGTGGGGTTGTACCTAATCTAATTAGTGCATTGCCCATTCTCTGCTTTTACTTTCTTGGATCTTCACCCACACTATATGCTAACCCCATTTTTACCACTTCTTTTCCTATTTTTCTTCACTTCAATCTTTAATTTCTACCTTAGCTTCACAATGTTTATCTTAATCCTCCTTAGCTTCCCACTTATTTGGGAGTGATTTAGTTGCGGCAACCCCAACAAAATTAGTGGGGTAGTTGGTTAGGTAATTACAAGATTCTAAGTTTGATTCTATGTGGGAAGTATTCTATTGGCTTTCTTAGTTTGAGTATGCTGTCGGTCAGTTATTAGCAAACTAGTCTAGTTTATCTCATTATGATCATTTATCAACTAGCGTCACAAAGCATAAGGAGTATAATACTTTGTTTCCAAAAAGCTGAATCCTCAACCCCAAGGGCCCCCGTCTAACAGAGCATTTGAGAGGATGTAAATCATGGTAACTCAGCTTAACACAAAGGCTAGACATTTAATTACTGCGCACAAGGAACCCCCTCAATTTGAGAGATTGCTCCCACACTATCGTTGGTAAGACTGAATCCTGGGTCATTGTTCCCAAACTTCACTTATGAGCAAACTAGTATGATTTATCTCATTATGATCATTTATCAATTAGCGTCACAAAGCATAAGGAGCATAATACTTTGTTCTCAAAAGGTTAAATTCTCAACCCCAAGAGCCTCAGTCCAACAGAGCATTTGGAAATATGTAAATCATGGTAACTCAGCTATCTGAACATAGAGGTTTGACCTTTGCTTACTGCGCACAAAAAGCCCCTAACTTTGAGAGATCACTCCCACATTATCGCTGATGAGACTCGATCCCGAATCATTGTTTTCAAACTTTACTTATGTGACCAATTGAACTGTCCTTGCAGGCTAAGGAGCATAACACTGACATTGTAGATTGGCAGTAATCAATATTTTGCGTGGACAAAACATAGTTTAAAATGTAGTGTGGTTCTTGATAACCAAAAAAACATGAGACAAACCGACCAACAAAACTCTCAGATCTAGTAACTCTAGAAAGTTAATTTTATTTAGTGTGATGTAGTACGATGTACCCCAATACCCCACTCCATCTTTACATACAACTATTTGTGGCCGCCATGCCCCATAACAGCCTGTATAATATGCTTTGAAAATTTCTAAGTTTTACACAATATCAACAAAATATTATTTGGACCGATTTTTTTTTTTTTTTTTTATACCAAATGAATAAGACTCATAGTTATTATACGATTGTACATTCAGTAAATCTTACTCCTGTATAATGTGTCAAAGTTACATCGTGTTCTCGACCAACATAAAATTATGTTAATAATGTCCTAAATGAGATGACCAAGTGGGTGAAACATTATTTTCGTATCTGAATATTTTGAGTTTAATTATTACCAACACTCTCTCAATCGAACTTATCGTATATAGTCTTTCTAGTTCAATTTACCTATAATATATAGTTTGCATACTATTACTATGCAATAATATGATTTATCCAT